CTCTCTCTCTCCCTCTCTTTCTTTCTCTCTCTCTCTCTCTCTCTCTCTCTCACTTTCTCGCTCTCTCCCTCTCTCTCGATCTCTCTGTTCACCCGTTTACTCCATTCCTTTTACTACGTGCTGCATCATCAATGACAGAGCTCAAACATCCCCTTGAGAGAGTGATGGAGATGATCACACGCTCACTAAGCATTAAGCAGTTGCAAGAGATGAACTGAACGCCGCGGAATTCTTAGCAACTTTACATTATCTCGCTATCGGAACAAACGCGTCAGAAGCATTGAGGTTTTCATTGTTTTTGTTTCTCCTTTTCGTTCAAGATGGTATGGGAAATCTTCTGACAGAAACCCGTAGCCTTACGTCAACGATTGTTTGTGCAGTCTTGAGATGCTGAGAAGAGATTACTTCGACTTAACTGCGACGAACGACGTATGGTTAAGATAGTGATTTGCGTGCGACTCGCAAGATAAGAGAGGCTTCTTACTGTAGAACACTCAAGACATCACACGTAAAGACAGCAATCTGACGTCTTTGAGATAAACCAAATAGAAAAGAACAACAAAAACAAAACAAAACAACAATTCACCAAACACAGTTGCAGGAATTTGTGTTTGAACTTTTAAGAACTTGGATTACAATTCTAGACGCGGTCGTTTTTTGGATTCACCGTCCTCGGAAATCGTTCTTGGAAATCAAATTGCTTTTAAAACGATTTCGGGATTTACTTAAAGATAACAATTGGATACATTCGATGAAGAGATTCTCTTGAACAGCTCCGTGTGCTTCATTAATTAAGTGGAACTTTGTCCACGTTATGTTGTGTTAAGATCTTGAAGAATATATAGATAAACCCGAGAAGCAAGACGCTAGTTTTACGAGAGGAGTATCATCGTTTGGAGAGAATTGGCGTCTTGGATCTGGTCTCATAGTGCCAGGGATTACCGCACACATCAGAAGGATCAGCTGGGAGCAAACCCATAACTGTACTCAGCACTCCCTACCTCAAAGAAGACATGGATGAAACAGGGGATATCCTAAGTGAGCTGCAAGTGCCCAAGTTCCCGAGAGCGGCAGGGCGAAGACACACCCTCGCCAATGTTCGGTAAGTCCAAGCAACTGCAACTGATTGTCTGTGCGTTTGTTCTTGTTGATTACAGATCAGTGGTTCTTATCCTTCATGTTAATAACTTGCTTTCGTTCATGGAACACTTCGAATGGTGTAATGTGAACGGACACACACACACACACTCACACATACACACAAACGCACACATGCACGTGCACACAGAGATATGTGCACACACACGCACACACACGCGTGAACACACACTGACATATACAAACACAAACACACACACACACACACACACACACACACACACATACACACACGTGTGCGCGCACATGCACTCAGAGACACGCGCACACACACGCACACACACTCGTGAACACACAAAAACACACACATATGCAAACACACGCATAAACACACACACA